TGCCACTGGGGTGGCTGTTTGTTTGTTTGAAGTTATGCACAAAACTACACAATGGGCTATCTGTGCTCTGCCCACCACGGGTTATTGAAGCCCGGTTTCTAGCGTTGTAAGTCCGCAGACATACTGCTGAGCCATTGGGGGTGGGGGCAATATTATGCATGGGTGTACAACTGTACATGTGCATGACTAGCTACTCTATTTTTACAACAACAAGAAATCTCTAATTATAAATACATTATGCTTTTTTGTATAAAATATTATTAATAGACCAAACAAAGTAATTATTTGGGTTATATATTAGTATTTGAAACAGTTAATTTCAGCATGCCTAAGATCTTCCATTTTCTGCAGTGAACTTCAAGAAGTTTTTAGTGAGTACAGGAGACAGTTACAAGCAATTGGTAAAGAACACATTTGTGATAAGTTAATCAGTGCTTCCATCTTTTTGCGTTTCCTTTGTCCGGCAATTCTTTCTCCGAGCCTTTTTAACCTCACACAGGGTAAGTATTTTTACTGACACAAATTTTCAATTGTCCCAATTTAACAGTAAGAGATTACTGCTCTTACGATTTTAAGCTTTATTTTATACGCAATCAATATTATTCAAACACTTGTTCTTCAAAGGATAGCATTTGAATTTCAAAGTTAACAATTGCTAGATAAATGTTTTTCAGCAGGCTAAGTGAGGAATAGAAAGGAAAATATATGCAATACTCTAGAAATAAATTGTCAAGAAATGCTTACAATTGTGTTAAGTTAAAGATGTTAATCAATTTTTATAATACCCGTCGGTTGCATGTTAGTCTGATGCTATCCTTCTTCAGCTATTTCTCTTGTTTAAATAGCCAACTTCTTTGCCCTTAATCATTGTAGTATGTAATAGAAAATAACAGATATTGTGTGATGAGTGAGAAATTAAAGAACTGATCTTTTTAAATAGAGTATCCAGAAGACAGAGCAAGAAGAAACCTGACTCTTATTGCTAAAACAATCCAAACTTTGGCAAATTTCACAAGGTATGAAGCATCGTAAATATATTTTTTTCACCAGTTTTAATGAGAATACATGATCGATTAATCATCTAGCAGAAAGGCAGTTTTAAAAAATGATGTGTAACGTGTTAAAGCCAAAGTAATCTTGGTATATTTTACCTTTTTCTAGGTTTGGTGAGAAAGAAGATTTCATGGAATTCCTCAACCAGTTTGTTGACAAACAGCAGCACACAATGAAGAACTTTCTACTGCAGATCTCTGTAAGGAACAAGATACTTACAGATCATGTTTTACAGTGAAAACACTAAATCACTATTTACAGAAAAAAGAATACTACCACCTTACAGGAAAAAGACAATATTTCCTTTCCCAAAATCTCTGTTAGTTTATGAAACCTGTTCAATATACTGATAAATACCTAAATTATTCAGTGCAAGGTTAATGTTTTGTGGTGATTTAATCTAATCAGATAATATGCAAATCAAACTGATCATTAGATTTTATGAGCAATATTTTCGGCATTACTGAAAAAACATGTTTTTTTATATATAAGTTAAAATTATAATTTATCAAATGTTGCAAGTCCAGAGAATAATAATGTACAGTTTTTAATGATCTGTAGTACTTAAGATTGATGAACACCTACAAAATTATTCCTATTACATACCATTACAGAACACACTTTTTTTTAAGTACATGTTATAAATTAAAAAGCAAGTTTTTAAGTGGTTGTTGATTTATGTCTTCAAGAAAATAATTAATAATATGTGGTGTTAAAATTAATAAATAGTGTAAAATAATCCTTACCCTAATTGTAAATTGTTGTAATATAAATAAAATTGATAAAAATGTACACCTCACTAACTTAATTCAGTTCACTCAGAAATAGCCGTTGTCAAGTGGTTTGCTAACATAGAAAGTGTCTTAACCACTACTATGTCTGTCGTAATCTAACAGTCAATTTAAACTGACAAGATGTGTGCTGTTGTTATTGTCTGTTTTCCATTTTACTCGGCATCTGTTTACATTATGAAAACATTATTCCTGACAAATATTATTCTAATAAAAAATCCGTTTTGGTAAGAATTAAAGCAAACAGAATGCTTAAAGATATGGCTCTAGATCTAGTAATAACGTCGTCATTAAAGAAAAACAAAATAGTACAAACAGTTTTTTTATTTCTTCTAAGACTCCAGGTGGTGGGGACAGCATTAATTTTGAAGGACAGATTGACCTTGGAAAAGAATTATCCATTTTACACTCTTTGCTAATAGACTGCATTCCTGACATGAATAAAACGGTAAGATCTCTTTTAGTGTGCTTGTGATCCTTGTAACAATGATATTTGGTGAGATAGCTTAGTTGATTGTCACTTTTAATATTTACAAAATTATTAGATACTTGAAATAGCACAGGATAAACCATTTTTTATAAGCCTCATATTGATGATTATTGTAATGTAATGTCAGTCGTTAATTAAAGTTTAATTATGGATTGTTTACATTAGAAAATCTGTTGAAAAGATGATAGATAGACATCGTTAGTAACAAAACAACTCAGTTTTATAAGTTTTTAAATAGTTTATGTGCTGTGGATGAAAATGCTAACTTTCAGCATTATTTATTAATGCTGATTTGGATATTATTCTTAACGACAAGAATAAATAAAGGAAAGTAAACTACACTGCTGATTTTTTTAGAAAAAGATCTCATGATTCTATTTAAATTTGATTTCTGCCATGACTAATTATAATATGTTATCACAATTGATGTCACAGCCATGAGTAATTATAATATGTTATCACAACTGATGTCACAGCCATGAGTTATTATAATATGTTATCACAACTGATGTCACAGCCATAAGTAATCGTAATATGTTATCTCAACTGATGTCACAGCCATGAGTAATTGTAATATGTTATCACAACTGATGTCACAGCCATGAGTTATCGTAATGTGTTATCACAACTGATGTCACAGCCATAAGTAATCGTAATATGTTATCTCAACTGATGTCACAGCCATGAGTTATCGTAATGTGTTATCTCAACTCATGTCACTCTAAAAACATTTATATTTTTAGTGAACTCTTGGACTATTTTTTGTTTTGTTTCAAAGTGCAAATAAAACAATATTGATCTAGCATTTCTTTATCAGGAACATGAAGAAGATCTTGAAGAACTTCAACAGATCCTAAATGACATCTCTTCTTCAATGTCACAACCATCTGTGCTCCGTCAAATGAGCTCTCCAAATTTTGGTGATAAAGTACATAACATTTACTGTTTATTTGGTCCCACAACCTCACTACCAGTAAATCCTGAACAGTCACAACGTAAATCAACCATTAATTTGTTAGAAACAAGTAGAAAGATCAAGGAAGATAACACAAAGAAGAATGTTGATCTCGAGCTTCAAAGTCAAGTCTGTCAACAGATTGCATCCTCCTCAACTCAGTCACCAAGCCAGTATAATATACTATCTGGTAGAACAGTCAAGTAAGTATCTCATCAATTTCACTGTTGTAGACTCCGTTATCTCCCTTTTCATGGTCTACAATTTTGATTGTTATCTTACTGAAAAGAGTTGTGTAAGTATGAATTAATCTTATGGTTGTGACTTTTTTTTTCAAGTGTAGTACAAAGATAAGATTTTATAAACCAGGTTGTTAACCTATTTGTTGACTATGTGTAAAAATTAAGATTTTTCTATTTGTTTTTAAAGTAAGAGTTTTTGTTGTCTGGTCTCCAAGATGTAAATTATTATTATTAGTAAATATAATTGCATTATTATTAGTAAATATAATTGCATTATGACTAGTGCTAGCAATTGAAAAAACGTTCAAGTCTTTTTTTTTTTCGTTTTTTTAAATTTTAATTCCAATTTTTCTAGTTATCACAAAAGAAGACGTAGTAAAGACCCAGCTGAAGACATGAACACATCTGATGACTATGTAAGATTTGAAGCATTAGAGAAGAAAGGATCCACATGTGACAAACATTCCACTTCTACCTCAGTCCACAGTACCTCATACAGTGAGACATATTATTCAGACAGAAGGCCAGCCACCAAAATAGTGGACCAAAAAGTACCTCATATTATTGACTCTGAAAGAACTCTTTTTAAGGGAAACTATCAACCAATCGATGGGAGAGATTCCCAAAAGAACCAGCAAGAGTTTTCGGTTCTGACCAGAAACATGCGTAATAGTTTTACTCATGATTATGATGAGGTTACAGAAGAAAATGATTACCACATGAAATCTGGCAGCCAAAACTCTCTCTGTAAGGTAGGTTTTCTACTTCATTTTTTTTTATTGTAGTGTGATAGCTTAAAGAAAGCTTAAACCCACCTAATAAATAATGAAAGTAAAAATTCCAAGATGATAACTCGCCTCTACACACATATTAACTCTCTTCCTCGATGTGTCTGCCAGAGAGATTTGCATGCCACTAGACTTCAGGCAACTCCCGTCTAATTTCACGTGATTTTGCATGAATTGCACCACTGCATGATGACATCATCATGTGACAAAAGCTCTCTACCAGTAGGAAGGCCACACACCTCCATGTGCACTGACTTCTCCCGTGCATTTGAACTCGTGAACCTTCACTCCTCTCCTTGGCATTGTATTGTACAGATGTGTTTAAATTTCTTGTCTGTGTTCGGCTGATTGAGATTTGCATCGTTAATGGAACTCTGAATTTCGTTTTCTTTAGCTTTTGTTGCAAAATCTTTAATTTTGTTTTTAAATATCATGAATTCAAAAGTGATGGTGATTTATACTTAGTCTTGAATGCAGGCATTATTTCCGCTGTGGTTTCTGGAAGCTCATTAACTGTCAGGGTCATTGCAGCCATTGTTCAATCTGTTGTAGATTACTACATGCTTAATGGGCTTCCTACCCCATTCTCATCAGATGGTTAGTTAAGAATGATCTATTAGACTACAACTTTCACCTGATTGGCTTTGGATAGTACTTTACCATTCTTGAAATAACCTTAACCTTTCAATCACTTTCTGGATTACATTATCACGTATGATCCGTTCCATCTCTTTTGCCCGTGTTCTTTATTATTTTTTAGTTTTCTCACTTTCTGAACCATGATTCTTGGGTTTATCTTGTTTTCCTCCTTGCTTGTTATTATGTTTTATACTGTTTCCTTTATCTAATGACTCCTTTTGTCCTGATTTGCAGACTTTCTTCCCTTTCTTTTCTCAATTCCATACCATTGGTATCTATCTGGCCAGCATTGGGATTGGGCCCTTTACCTTCTATTTCAATTGTCAGTTCCCCATTTTCACTTCTTTTTTTTTCCCCTCTACCCTTCTGCATTCCTTCTCCATCTTTTACCTGAGGCACTTCTTAATGTTTCTGATGACTTCTGTAGACATTTGTTCCCTTCTCTGTTTGGCCTCTTCCACTTCTGCTCTATTCTGCTGTACTTTGATATCCCACTGTCAGGAGACTTTGGGCTGGGTTGTGTTGCTTTCTTTACTGTACCCCTTCCTTCTTCTTTGTCTGGCTCCCTTTCTTTACCCAGATGTCTTCAACGATATTCTTTTCCCCCTGGTGACCTGGTCTGATGTTATATGTCTTCTGTCCTCCTTACCTTCCCAGGTTCTTTCCTCTTTCTTGGTCTTACCCTGTACCCCTATTCCTTGTCTAGATCTGTCTCTTTTCCACATTTCCATTCCAGGTTCTAGATATTCTTCTCTTTTTCTCATCTTTCCTCTACTGGAAGTCTTGTTCGTCATCTTCTTGCCAGTTAATATCACACAACTACATTTCTTTGGTTACGTTTTTCATCTCCTGTTGGTCTCAATCTCTGCTGCCAGTCATTTTCCATTTCCCCATTTTAGTCTCTTTTTCTCTCTCCTCTCCTGTTCACATTCCTTTTCCTCCTCCCTCATCTATGGTCTTTTTTCACCCGGTCTTCACTGACCATGAACGAAGTGCTGGACACCTTCCAACACGTCTCTCTCTCTCTGTGCACTTCCTGTCCATCTTTTTGCATCTTCTCATTCCTTGCACTTCAACACAGCATTGGCCACTCTTGTATTCATTGGTATTATGAGGGCCTTTGCTTGCCATATTCATGACCATTGCACTGTCTCCAGTCAAAAACCTTTCTTGACTGAAGGATCAATGGAAATCCAGGCACCTTCTCCGGATCTCCCATACACAAATTACCCCCTTTATTATATGGACCATAAGAGACTCTTGCCACTTACCAGTTCCTAGCCACTGGGGAAGTGGACCATGGAGAACCCTCACCAATTGGAACTCCACCACTGGGGCTAAAACAAGGAACACCAGTATAGTGAGAAGTGGGGTAGTAGTGACACTGTTAGTGTAGTGCAGATCACCCCTCATATAAATCAGACACACCACTCATGCCACCAATGCCCTGTTCTTGCAGCCCTCCTCCTGAAGGTAGAATCTCTTCCATAGTATATGTTCAGTTGAGTTGAGATGAGCACTCACTATACAGTACCAATATACATCTATGTCCTTCTCCTGCAGCCTATGACTGTTCAATAGAGTCGAGGTGACCACGCACTATACGGTACCGGTTCTTACTACCTAACTAATGTGCCCACCTCCAGCAGCTGGTGTCAGAGTACACAAGGTATGGGCTGAACGTACTCCAACCACACTACACATATTGGCTGTCTGACAACTTATGTGCAAATACTCAGACAGTCATTTTCTAATTCCACCTGTCCCTGTGACACAAATATTTCTTCTTTGCCTTTTCCCTTTTCCTATACAGGCAAAGAGTATACCCTGGATGAGGCAAGATGTGGTCTCTAAGGGTGTCCCTTCCATCAGGTGTCACACCCCATGGGCATCCTTCAAACTCTTTCTGAAAGGTGTTAATCTAGGTACGTTTTGCACTGGTCACTCCACCATGTCAACATGGGGTTCTAGCTAATCTGTGTGTAGAGGTGAGTTCTCATCTTGGAAGTGAACATTTTCCTTACCTGAAAATATATTTCTGATAGATACTCATCTCCACCCATCCTTCCCATTTATAGTGGACATTTTCTTACTTGCCTCATTAAAGAATGAAGATTCACGAGTGCAAACTCATAGGGGGAGTTAGCGTGCATGGAGATGTGTCAGCCTCCTATTGGTGGAGGGCTTGTGTCACATGATGATGTCATCATGCAGTGACACTATTCACATAAAAATCACATGAAATTAGATGGGAGTTGCCTCAAGCCTAGTGGCATGCAAATCTCTTTGGCAGACACATTGAGGAAGATAACTAAACTGTGTGTAAAACAGTATGAAATTAATTTTTTGTCTTATAACTTTGATGACAAGAGCTTTACTTAACTTTAGATGTTAAAAGCCATACCAAGTAACATTTTTTTTTAGTATCTTGAACATACGGTCAGCAGCACATTTTATTAACTAAGTTATCTATTTTTATTTCCTTTTTTTATATTGAAAAATATAAATACAAACAAAATTTATTAAAGTAACAATCTTTTTTTTTACTAGGTAGCAAATATGGGATCATCAGGGTACCCGTCAGTAAGGAATAGCCAAACTATTCCATCTTCTGGACTCTTGCATGCACATATGACCCTCTCTTCTAATGGTCATTATAGTTTTCGACCTCCTTTAGCTTTCAAGAATCCCATGTACAGCCTTAACATTTCCCACGGAAGCATTAGTGATAGTGAATACTCTGATGGTCCCACAGAAGAAAGAAAATCCAATGGTAACTCTCTTAGAAGAAGAAGTGGTATTACAAGCATTTCAAATGCTGAACTCCATACACAACTCAGTAAGTAGTTCCAATATTTCTTGTAAAGCTTATGTTTGTAGAGAATCATTTTTGTACAAATACTGAGTAACCTCTAAAAGTTGTCGTTATTACCTTAAAAAACATTTAATGCAAACTTTTTGGTTTTATTACGATATACAAAAAAAAAGGCGAAGAATTTTCATTAAAGAATTCAAAGAGAAGCTCATAAATACATAAATATACTGTAATTGCGGAAATTAGTAACATAAACGTGTGCGTCTTGACGAAATGTAAAACCACAAATACTTTTAGTTTAGATAATTTTTTGGTTCTTCTCTCTTAAAACAATCATGTCGCACAAGCCCTCCACCAATAAGAGGATAATACACCACCATGCACACTACCTCCCCCTATACACTTGTGAATTTTCATTCGTTTACGAGGCAAGTAAAAAAATATGCACCGGAATTAGTGAGGATGGGTGTAAATGTGTGCGGAGGTATCTATCAGAAATACAGCTACAAGTTTACAGACACTAAAATCTGGGGTTTGATTCTCGGAGAAAGACAGAGTGTAAATAAATGATTGTGTAGCAAATAACAAGACTGAGAACTTGATTACAGATAACGTGTTAATAGTGAACCGAAATACTTTTTTTTCTTAAATTTAAGTTAATTTCTTTTACCAATGGTTTTATGATTCAGTTTTCCAGAATTGATAAGCTATATTGTTTGTCAGATCTTGAATGTTAAGTTATATTGTTTGTCAGATGTTGAATGATAAGCTATATTGTTTGTCAGATGTTCAATGACTCTTTTAACCTGAATCTCTTCAAACTGCTACATTAATGATAATATATAATAAACTAATACTGTAATGATGAAAGTAATTTTTGTTACACATTCTTATTACATGGCTTGTTAGGTAACAAAATATCTAAGTGATGTTTATCCACTAAATGACCTGTTCACTTCTTCAGACCAAAAAAAATTTACAATAAAAAAAACAAACAAATATAACTTAACATTCAACATCTGACAAGCAGTATAACTTAACATTCAACATATGACAAGCAGTATAACTTAACATTCAACATCTGACAAGCAGTATAACTTAACATTCAACATATGACAAGCAGTATAACTTAACATTCAACATATGACAAGCAGTATAACTTAACATTCAACATCTGACAAGCAGTATAACTTAACATTCAACAACTGACAAACAATATAGCTTATCGTTCAAGATCTGACAAATAGTATAACTTAACACTCAAGATCTGACAAACAATATAACTTAACATTCAACATCTGACAAACAATATAACTTATCATTCAACATCTGACAAACAATATAGCTTATCATTCAACATCTGACAAACAATATAACTTAACATTCAACATATCACAAACAACTTGGCTTTATACTAGATCTCACTAACAATGTAGCTTAAAATTCAAAATGTAACAAACACTCAAAATCTGACAAACAATATAACTTAACATTCAATATCTCACAAACAACATGGCTTAATACTAGATCTCACTAACAATATAGCTTAACACTCAAAATCTGACAAACAATATAACTTAACATTGTTTTTTTTTACCACTGAAACAGAAACCAGCAACATAAAACTATGTGACAGAAGTGTTCGTCCTTCTTCACCTTCATCTGAAAATGATACAGCTTCATCACAAATACAGTCATTTCCATCAGGGTCTCCGTCAAGGTACTCAAGACTTCCTCAGTTATCATATTTTCATAGTTATCCTCAGCTGTGGAAGAGCCACAGGCTTGAAAGACGAGGATCAGCAGACCAACTTTCACAGAGTCCAAAAAAGTAAGTAGTAATATATATCTCAAATGTGCAATTATAAAATCAGAACTTAACATCGTTAAGTTATTGATAGAAGATTGTAACTTTTTGTCAGTCATTACCAAAGTGTCAGTTTTTAGTTGTCAGTTGCTGTTATAAAATTGTAACTTTTTGTCAGTCATTATCAAAGTGCTAGTTTTTGGTTGTCAGTTATTTTTAGAAGATTGTAACTTGTGTGTATTTTGTAGATCAAAGTGCTACTCTTTATATATATATATATATATATATATATAAGCCCTGTGGTTTGAAAAGAAAAAGAAAACCATACTCTCAATTTTAGGGAAATAAACTATAACTGATAAAACAGAAATTACATTTTTTGGGGCTATACAACAATTGATAAAAACATGGGTGTGATTTGATGGGGGGTTTCCCTGGCTCTACTTTTTCGTCACTGGGACTGCAATTTCAATTATCATTGCCAAGGAAGAATGAATTTATCCTTCTGATAAAAAAATTAACACTCCCTATAAAAATGTACAAACAATGTTTCTTTAATTGTTGTTCCAGTTCTTGAATTATGCTGCATAACATAACACTTGTCATGATTGCTCTTTAAGTTATATTTAGTTGTTGTGTAGTTATATTTAGTTGCTGTGTAGTTATATTTAGTTGCTGTGTAGTTATATTTAGTTGCTGTGTAGTTATATTTAGTTGCTGTGTAGTTATATTTAGTTGCTGTGTAGTTATGTTTAGCTGTTGTGTAGTTATGTTTAGCTGTTGTGTAGTTATGTTTAGCTGTTGTGTAGTTATGTTTAGTTGTTGTGTAGTTATATTTAGTTGTTGTGTAGTTATATTTAGTTGTTGTGTAGTTATATTTAGTTGTTGTGTAGTTATGTTTAGCTTGTTGTGTAGTTATGTTTAGTTGTTGTGTAGTTATATTTAGTTGTTGTGTAGTTATATTTAGTTGCTGTGTAGTTATATTTAGTTGTTGTGTAGTTATATTTAGTTGCTGTGTAGTTATATTTAGTTGCTGTGTAGTTATATTTAGTTGCTGTGTAGTTATATTTAGTTGCTGTGTAGTTATATTTAGTTGCTATGTAGTTATAGTTAGTTGCTGTGTAGTTATATTTAGTTGCTGTGTAGTTATATTTAGTTGCTTTTTAATGGCTTTTCATTCCATATAAAACAATATATATATATTAAATATGTATTTTTTTTTGAGTAGTTGATTTGATATAAATAAGTAACTTATTGATCATCTTAATGTTTAAATTGTTTAGTACAGATGTGTCACCCCTCCCCCATTGGAAATTTGACAGGTTACACCCTGTATAAATCTAATGGTTCAACTTCTCTTCCTGAGAGACACACAACATTTGTGTCTGAGTTAAAATTTTTAAATATTCCATTTTTTGGAAAAAATATAGAATTTTTCACTTTATATTTAATAAATTGAACCACACAGCCTAGTGATTTATGTGCTGGAATGAGTCTGAGGGTTTGTGGTTTGCATCACAACAAAATCATGCTGTGTTGAGCCGTGGGTGTGTTATAAGAGTGATGGACAAATCCCATTATTTGATTAGAATAGCTCGAGAGTTGATGGTGAGTACTTTTGGTTATCTGCCTTCCTTCTAGTTTTATCAGTTCAAAATTAGAGATTGTTAGTGCAGATAGCCCTTATGTAGCTTTGCACAAACATCCAAACAAACAATTAAATATATTCATAGATTAATTTTATTTTCCATTGACTTAGATATTTAACATGTAAAAATAGATGTAGTGAATGAATTTAACCTGTCTGGACTATGAATCCAGTCCGCTTTCTGTTTCCACAAGATACTCTCTGTACTTTGGACACTTGTAAGCATTATAAGAGTAACAATCAAATCTCACTGTTAGGTAAAACAAGAGTATCCCAAAAGTTGGCGGAGGGGGGTTGTTGACTAGTTGCCTTCCCTTTAGCTTTACAGTTCAAAATTAGATGTGGTTAGTACATATAGCTCTTGTGTAGCTTTGTAAAAATATCCAAACAAACATTTGAATATGTTCATAGATTAATTTTATATTTTATTCATTAAATTTCTTTTGTAAGTCTCATTCTAGTAAAGTGAATTGTGCAAGATATTTGATAAATAAAATCGATATATTTCAAAGAAAGAATTATCGTCATGGAAATTAGTTATTGTCAGATGCCAAATGAACTGAAAATAATTATAATTAAAATCATATAAAATAAGCAATCTTTGAAAAATGTAAGCTTCTTTCTTTTCTCTTAAATTGAAAATTCTTAAAATCACTTAGTTTTTACACAATTTCTTTAAATATTTGTGAACTTAAAAACGTCATTCTCACTAAAATAAAATAAACTATTTTACGTAATGAAACAGTAATTGATTTTGTTATTCAATTAAAACCACTTATTTGAACCACTTATACTCTGAATCTGCTCTTTTATAAATAGTTTAAAATGAAATCCTAATATGACTTAATTGACTTCCGTAGAGAAGGTGTACAAAAGTTAGTCTGTTATCCATTTCATCATTCAAGTTCTTTCGAAACTAAAAGACACAGAACACTGGAAGAAGTAAGTATCTTTATAAATGTGAGAATGTTTGTTTGGTGTATTGTTCTATTTGTTTCTTTTGTGTTCATTGTTTGTTATATGACTTTGTATTTATAGTTATATTTGTTGTAATTTCATGTGACGAGGGTTTTCCCGACATCTTATCCATATCTTCGATCAGTCAAAAATATTTAGATATTGACCTCAGATTTAATATTTTCTACTATTTGAATTATTGCTCATTTTTTTAATATAAAGAAGTTAAGTACAACTGTATTACTTTATTTTATTTAGAATCTGGTGTAATATTGTAAATATTTACTATTGTAATAGTGACTGAAAATTGAATTAGCGTACAACAAATCTTTAATTCAGTTCGATTGTTTGTATTAAATGTTGGGAGAATGTAAAAGTGAATACAATTAATTACCAGTAACTCATATAATTTTTATCTTTAGATATTATACACTGTTGTGTAATTAACAGTGTTTAATAGTATGCTTGTTCTGTAGACTTGGTAAAATGAAAACCTTTGCCAGGCAGGGAGGAGTTATAATCCTTTTAAGTCATTATAATACTTAGAATTATATAATGTATTTAAAGTGTGTTGCTGTTGCGAGGAAGATGTCTCATAGAAATATATATGATTTAATTGGTAATGAATATTGTTGTTTTATTCTTTTTTGTAAGGAATTAATTTTGTAAACATTTTAATGAAAAATGTTTTATAAAATATCCTCTCTATAGTATTTTTTGTAACTTTCATTTTGATGTTGTTTGAGTCTTTCACCTTTCTTGTCCGAGTCTGTTGTTACTGTGTCTTTAAAGCTAAGACTCCATAACTGCTTTTGTATTCACCAATTCAGTCATATGTGTAATGATAACTAAGGCTCGTGTTAAATAATGTTTATATATATTCACATCTAAAGTAATGTTTACAAGGTTTGAGTTAATTATACCTAAGCCATCACAACCAATTTACAAGTCTGTGTCAGCAATATCCAAGTTTCTGTGATCATCTACATGTCTGTGTGGCTTGTACCAATGTCTTTGTGACCGTCTCGGCCCAAGTTTGTGAGAATTGTTCAATGGTGTAATGACTGTTACCTTTTCTGACTATGTTAATCATATTTCTATGTTAATATCCATCTGTTTGTTTTGTGCTCCTTTCCAATAAATGCACTTCTTTTTGACCAATCACGATAATTTGTGACGTCACCAGGAACGTACGTGCCAGCCACCTCACTGTTTCAGTTTGAAAACATACTTTGAAAACTTTGAAAAATAAAAACTCTTTTATGTATTTAACTTCTGCTGTCAATTTTGCATGAAAATTGTACGTTGTGTATACTTTGGAGTGTGGTAATTGTCCACTAATATATGAAACTCGTGGATGTAGTAAAATTGTACGTTGTGTATACTTTGGAGTGTGGTAATTGTCCACTAATATATGAAACTCGTGGATGTAGTAAAATTGTACGTTGTGTATACTTTGGAGTGTGGTAATTGTCCACTAATATATGAAACTCGTGGATGTAGTAAAATTGTACGTTGTGTATACTTTGGAGTGTGGTAATTGTCCACTAGTATATGAAACTCGTGGATGTAGTAAAATTGTACGTTGTGTATACTTTGGAGTGTGGTAATTGTCCACTAATATATGAAACTCGTGGATGTAGTAAAATTGTACGTTGTGTATACTTTGGAGTGTGGTAATTGTCCACTAATATATGAAACTCTTGGATGTAGTGTTAAATCATACTTGTTGTTTTAATTGGAAGTTATTGTAATAATAATAACTTATCTACTGTGACTATGGAAGATACAGTCAAACCTCACTCTAATGGCTTTACTCTAGTGATACTTCGTGCACTGTGACTATGTATATGATATGTTTATGAGTTGATAAATTTAATCGGTGATACATAATGCATCTTCACAGTTTATTTCGAACTTTCTGGCACCTTGTCTTCAATTTTAAACATGCGTGATACTGCAAGTACTCGAAGTATTATTTTAAAATGCTTAACGTCTAAGCATTGTGTTTTTCATTTAAAAATTCCCAAATTCAACAAAGTTTGTTTTAAAATGCAATGAAATACATGAACTCCACAAAGCCTGTTCAATCAAGACATTTATATTTGCATGTTCCTACCTTGAAATTAATAACTTATAGTTTTGGGTTCCTGACCTAGTCAACTTTGCAAATTCAAATTGACTACTTTGAAGTACCATTAATCTTTCTTGGCTCATGTACAACAATACATGAACTCCACTCATGTACAACAATGCGTCATTTCAGTCCTATGGATAAGAATTCCTGTACTTTTCCCCGTAATAGTATCATGTTGAAGTAGAAACACTGAAAGAACTGATGACAGATCTACAAAGAAAGCTGACAGAAGCAGAAAAAAAACTTTCAAAACCAGAGACCCATGATAATAGAAATGCAACATCTAGGCAAACAAGACTGAGTGAGGAAGAAAGACAACAAAGGATCAGCCAACAAAGACATAAAGATGAGAGGTTTCAAAGTATTATCACTAGGTAGGAAAATTTAAGTTTTATTCTTTTTTGTGTGTGTATATGAAGGGTTAGATGTATTAAAGAGTTAGTTTTAGTATTTATATAGGCAGGTGCAGTGGTAAGGGGTGACATGCTGGGGCTAAAGCGACCCCAAAATGTACCCCCACACCAAAAAAAAAAAAAAACTCTTACTATCAAAGATTGTTCACTTCCTAAGTATGTGTGCCCAAAAAATGTAGTGTATCCCCTACAATTCTCACTAGAAAGAGGCTGACACTGCCCCTGTATACAGGGCACAGGTAGCAAGAAATAGTTACAGTGAAGATTAAATTACTGAGTTAACATATCTGAAATAATAAATTTTATCCGCAGTAATTCCCTTTGAGTAACTTTGGTAAAATGAAAAATGTTACCCAAATGTATAAGTATTAGGATCAGTAGAAGATAAAATGAAAAATATGCTTTACCTTTCTTTAACAAGCACTTTTGGGAAGCTTGGACAAAGGTATCACTTCCTTAGTTTCATCATACAAAAAAAACCCAGAAATGTTGGGTTGGTGGTTGTGTGAAAGTTAGATGACAATATATTATGAAACCAGGATATTGAGTCATGGTTTTTGTCTGGAGTGTAACTGATCAATGTAGCATTTCTTGAATTTCATTACAAGTAGAATATTGGCAGTGTAGGAGTCCTATGCAGTTTAGACAGTATTACTTCTCAAAGAGGGTGGTTGGCTTTTGGAATGAGCTGCCTTCAGGGATGGTGGAGGCAGAAAATGTAACTGAGTTGAAGAAAAGATTGGATGAATACATGAGTAGTAAGGGGTGGTTATAGTTGGGAGCTGGAAGGCACATCCTTGATGGGCTAATAAGTTCCTTTAAAATTTTATGAATTCATGAAATATCATGACTTTATTAGAAAGTTGTAGGCATTAATGAGCCTCTGATGCAGTTTAAAATAATAAGTACAGCTGTTTTTGGATTTTTTTCAACGTCTGTTTAATCTAGTAATTAATTTTTAGATTTAATATTATTGGTGATTCATAAGCCACTCATAAATCTGCTCGTAAACTAGTGGCTACCAAAGTAAAACTTTTTTTTTTCAGGTTGTAGTTTCCGGCAGAAAGTTTGAATAAATTTCAGCATGGTTTGAAATAACAAAATAGAAAACACAGTTTTGAGGATAATATTTGTTCAAGGTCAAAGGCAAAAAGTGATTTATGTATGTTGTTGTTTGAGTCATACTTTACTTTAAGTAGCCAGTCTTGCATGGCTTACAGACCAGGTCGTTGTGCTAATGGATGAACAAAACTCGTGGCACCTACAAGTTCTACTACCTTTTGTGTAGCATACAGAAGTTTAAATCTTCACGATCTAAAATATTACTGGTATCCCAATTTTGATGGTATATAAAAGAAATTTTGTCATACTTTTAATATGTTTATTATGTCATGTTTTGGCTGGAAGGAGAAATAGCGA